CCTAGGTCAGAGTCAAGCATTGGTTTCTGCATCATTCAAACCCCAGAACGACTGATGCAGTCCTTCATCCCAAATGTGGTATGGAGTTGCCCAAGACTCATTAATTTCTCTCCTAAGAAATCCTTGCTGTTTTATCTCACTAGTCCCTTAGTCTTCTCTTACACAGTCTGGTGGCAGGTGATATGTTAAAAGTATTTGAACCAGTCTTTTTAATATGCTCCACATAAGCCATAGTCTGATTGTTTATGTCTCCTCAAATCGACATGTATAATAGCAATTCCACTCCTCCCAAAATGATGGCATTTGAAAGTAGAGATTTGGGCTCGGCGCCTGTGGCTCAAGCGGCTAAGGTGCCAGCCACATACACCTAAGGTGGCGGGTTCGAATCCCCAGCCCAGGCTTGCCAAACAACAATGATGGCTGCAACCAAAAAATGGCCAGGCGTTGTGGCGGGCGCCTGTGGTCCCAGCTACTTGGGAGGCTGAGGCAGGAGACTCACTTGAGCCCAGGAGTTGGAGGTTGCTGTGAGTGTGATGCCATGGCACTATACCTAGGGGATAGCTTGAGGCTCCATCTCAAAAAAAAAAAAAAAAAAAGAAAGTAGAGATTTGGGGAGTTGATTAGATCACTAGATAAAGTCCTAATGAATAGAATTAGTGTTTATAAAAAATTTATACGTAAAAGCAGAGCAAGAAGTTAACTATGAGCTAGAAAAGAAACATTCGTTAGACGCCAAATGTACCAGTGTCTTTATCTCGGATTTCTTTGCCTCCAGAACTGTGAGAAATAAATTTCCAATGTTTTTAACCACTCAGTGTACAGTAGTTGTTTATACCATCCCAAATGAGCTAAGACAATATGAATGGTCCAGCACCAGTTGTAGGAATTTGAGGCCTCTGCTAAAACAGTTAATTAGCTTAGTTTCAACTTTATATTATGTCATAAAAAGGTAGAACATTTTGCAAATTGACATTAATAAGTGATAATTACTTGATTTGTAATAATCTGACAGGGACACTAATCTTAAATTTAAAAAAAATTAACACTTATTTCAATCTCACATTCTGCTTTCCTCTCTTCATTCTTACTCACTCTTAATTTATTGACCACAAAGAACAGTGCAACTCAGAAATATGTACTTCAGTAAGGAATGGTTGGCAGGAGTTGGGAAAAGCTAATCTCAAGGTATTTAAGCTTGGAAGCACAAAAACCATGAATTTAAAAACACTAACATAAATAACAAAAATGTCAAAGATAAAATTTACTTCATCTACCCCAGTGTTTTTAAGATCTTGAATTTACATTTCTGGGAAACATCTCATTTTCCTTGAGTAAGTGCTTCAGTATTTACCTTGTCTGTCATGCTTATTCATGTCTTCTAGAAACTGTCCAGGAAGAGAACCTCTCAGCAACATCTCTAGCATACACAGGGTAAGAAATTATGTTACATTATAAGGTATTAAAACTCTCTTTTTTATAATACTGATAAAATGCAGACAGTAGAGTTAAAGCGTGGTATAATTTAGTTATAGTCCCAAGTACTACAATCATGTCCAATAAAATTATTCCAAGTCTTAGTATCTGACATTATACTGTGACTGACATAGCTTTCTTACATTTACATGGAGTCTTAGAATATACTAAACAAAGGGAAAGAAATTACTAAGAATGACTATAAATTACACAAAACTCTGATAAATAGAAAATATTATAAACAGCAGATTATACTTTAATAATTATCAAATTAAAAAATGTGTTTCTTATTACCCTTCTATTGTTCATTGTTTGCTTTCAATCAAACCTTCTTTCCTGATGGTAAAACATATTTTGCAAGTTTTCACTTCCATGTAAAATGCAACTCCAGCAACACTGTGAAATCTGAACACACATTAATTATCTTGCTAGATCTATTCAAAGCAGAAAAACTCAGTATAACAAATGAACATTTTAACCTTCATTAAAAAAATAACTTTTCACTTAAAATTTTTCTCCTCTTCTGTTGATATTAACCACTACTTTGGGCCTTGTAGTTATGTGACAGTCTGTCAGTCAATTCATTCTTAACAAGTTCATGACTGAATACTGGCTGACCTAAAAATTAGCAATAGTTATAGAACCTAATGATGGCATCTTTGAGACCTTGGTGGTTTTTATAGCTAATTAAGGAACAGGAGTTCATATTTACCTGTATGTTCTGCTGTCACCTCAAACATAAGGGGAGGAGCAAGACTTCAGACTAGAAACATCTCGTTACTAGCCACTTGGGGATAGGCAAGAGAAAGAAAACTCCAACAAACTCTGGATGGGGGAATCTACCCAGGGACATCACTCTGGGTCACAGTGAAGCAGTGGTGGTCTACAGGAGCCAGTGGGGTGTGGAGCTGAGGAAAACCAGCACAGAAAGTGAGTGCTTGGAAGCAGGTGAGGACTAGGTTAGGACCAGCCTGACCAGGGAGGACTGGAGACAAGAAAGGGATGTCCTGTAGTTTTTGATTTGGGGCTAATCTGTTCACTGGAGTGACCTTGGAGGACTTAAATGAGCAGTTGGACTTGAATACTGTCCAGCAGCCAGGATTGAATATGGGGTGGAGAGCGTGTCCCATTGGCTTGACTGCTAGCAGGGTGCCACCTTTGTGGAAATGTGGTGTGAGTGAGACAGTCCACCAGGTCCTAGTGCACAGCTGATTCTAGTGTACCTGCTGAGCTTGGGCATCCAACCTTGGGGAGAGCTGAGTAGCTCTAGGAGATATCAAGGGGCCCTGTATGACATGTCTCCTAAGGAATCTGGCAAGAGCTTTAGGACTCCAATCCTGAGGTGACTGAAAGCTGAGGAAACAACCAGGCACTGAATGATAACAACTAAGTTGAGAAGACAGTACCTGATTGCCTCTTCTGCAACTAAAGAGTAGGTTCCAGCCCTAATTTTTCACAACAAAGTAGCATATGTTCTCTATCTCCTAACAACGTAGTGCCACCTGGTGTCCAGGCAATATGTTGGAATATAAATATGGTTATATATTTATACTGCATGTAGGTATACAAACACATGTATATTTCTTTGTTTTTTCCTAATGAGTTGTTGTATTTTTATTTTTTACTTTTTACTATTGTCAATACCAAGGGCTCTTCCATGTTTTGCTATATTTTTTCAGACCCCTTTTTTGTCTCTTTTTTGTTTCTCTCTTTGGTACAGATTTTTCTTCTTTTCTTATCTTTCCTGTGTAAATTTTTCATACAACAGATGATAAATTTCTCTCAAGAAAAAGATGTCCTTTTTTTCTTGATATTATATGATGGTATCTTTATTTTTCTTTATCAATTTTTATTTATTTTTTTATTAAATGATAGCTGTATACATTAATGCAAGCATGGGGTACAGTGTAGTGTTTTCATATATAATTTGAAATACTTTCATCAAGCTGGTTCACATAGATCAATTTTTATTTATTTATTTCTTTTCTCTGAGTGCTGGTGGCATCACAGCATTGGTCTAGCTGGGGGGGTCACAATGTTGGTCTAGCTCAAGAAGGTCATGAGTTTATGATTGAGGGTGTCTTTCTAGCTTTGGCCTTTGGAAAGAGTATTGGCAGGTCACCACTGTGACATAGTGATGAATTTTTAAGATTTTTTTGTTAGCTTGTTTGTTTTGTTTTGTTTACATATTTGTTGGAGGTGAGGTCTTGCTTTGGCCAAGGCAGGTAAAAGCTCCTGATTTTGAGGGAGCCAGCCCCATAAAGTCCTACAGCTGCAAGTTTGACCATAACACCCTGTTGATCACCATCATTTCTCCTGTCAATGTCTTTTTTTTTCTTTTACCACAGTGTTTTCTTTATTGCTTTTTCTCTTCTTTCTTCCTTCTCATTATTTATCCTTCTCTTCCTTTTTGCCTTGTACCAAAAGGTCACTTTAACAGCTAAGCTCTGAGTCAAGGTAACTTAAAGCAAAGGATGTAGTGAGAAGGAAAATAATAGAGGAAGGAATTTAACAAGAAGAAAAATATGGCACAATTTAATGAATTCAAGGAGTTAATCAGGAAATCTAAAGATGCATTAGAAAGTATCAATCGCAGATTAAAACATGGAGAATAAAGAATCTCAGGGTGACAGTGAACTTCTCCATTAACACTTTTCAGGTCTGAGGGGATAATGATCTACCTATAACAGTGTTAAACAAAACAATTTTCATCCCAGAATTCTGTTTTCTGCTAAACTAAACTTCAAAATCAATGGAGAAATGAAATATTTTACTGATATGCAAACATTGTGGAAATTTACAAGTGGACCAGCTCTACAGGAACTAAATAGTCAGAAACTAAAGGAAAAAACCTAGCTTCCACAATGGCCCAAAGGATAAAACTAAGCCACAGACTTTCACAAAATCATATGAATAGAACTCCACCACACTTATCAATTCTCTCAATAAATGTTAATAGCTCGGTTTCCTCACTGAAAAAGCACAGGCTAACCAATTGGATAAAAAAGCACAAGCCATCCATAGGCTGTCTCCACGAAATACACCTAACTTAGAAGGACAAATCTATACTTAAGGTAAAGGGCTGGAAAACAGTATTTCAGGTAAATGGAAACCAGAGGAAAGGAGATGTCACAATGCTATTTTCAGATACAGGTGGACTTAAACAACTAATGTTAAGACAAAAATGATCATTTCATTCTGCTCAAGGAAACAATACAACAACAGGACATTTCAATTCTAAATATTTATGGGCCCAACTTAAATGCTCACAAATTTATGAAAAAGACCTTAATTGGTCTGAGCAATATGATATCCTATAACACTAGTATAGTAGGGGACCTTAACACTCTTACAAAGCTGGAAAGAGCCTCTAAATAAGAAATAAACAAAGATACAAGGGACTTAAAGATAACCCTAGGGGCGGTAGGTGCAGCAATGTCCCCCAGGAAGTAAAGCCCTGGATTTCCACTCATGTGTGAGATGAGCAGAGCTGGAGACAAGACTGGCCAAACTTTGGATCTGACAAGATGGCTGGGGTACACCACAGGATCATCAGGGAAACCCAGCATTTGGTGATGGAACCAGTCCTTGGCATCAAAGCAGAACCAGATGGGAGAAATGCCTATTATTTTCATGTGGTCTTGGCTAGCTCTCAGGATTCCCCCTTTGAGGAGGGGACTTTTAAACTCAAACTATTCCTTCCACAAGAATACTCAATGACAGCTCCTAAAGTATGTTTCATGACCAAAATTTATCATCCTAATATAGACAAATTGGGAATAATATGTTTAGGTATTTTGAAAGATAAATGGTCTCCTGCACTGCAGATCCACATAATTCTGCTATTGATCCAGACTTTGTTAAATGTTCCCAATCCAAATGATCCATTAGTTAGTGAAGTAATGGAGTAATGGAAGTCCAATGAATGCCCAAGCCACTGAAACAGCTAAAACATGAATTAGGCTATATGCCATGAATAATATTTAAAAATGATCCGATCATCAAGTACCTGTCATTTCTCTTGTTCTACGAAGATGTCTTCCTTTATATTGTTGCCATTTAATGGACACAGTCTTAGAAAGTTTGCAGAATAAAAGCCCAGACATCTTAAGTCCTTTGGTGATTAAACACGTTAGCAAATCTATGTCTTGTCCTGATTCACTATTGTAAAGCGTGATCAAAGGCAAGAAGTATTATGTGGATTATTGCAAAATATTTAAGAGCAGTGGCCCCTCTCTGCTATTATTCATTTCCCTTATCATGGTTTAAGTATAAAGCACTGTGAATGAAGGTAATTGTTAGAGTTAGCTGTGGTCTTATTTTACCTTTTTTTTTTTGGTGGGAGAGGTAGTTTTATTTTAATTTTATGGGCTCCTTTCCCTCCTTTTATGGTGATCTATTGAAGCTAACAAGTTATTTAAAATATTCTCTCTAGCCAACTCTAACTTTATTCAGATGAAGCTTGATTATTTGAACCAAAATGGGAACATTAAGCAAACATCACAATCCTCACTAATAACCTTGTGACTTTGCTGTCAAGTGTAGATTCTTTCCCCCATTCAAAAAAAAAAAAAGCTTGTGACCATTTTGTATGGCTTCTCTGAAAACTTCTATAAATCCTATGTTTTAGTAAAATATTTTTTGTTATTCTACTTTGCCTTTGTATAGTTTATTTTACTGTGTTTATTTCAGTTCCCAATGTGACAATTGTATTTAGAAATTAAAACTCTGATGGGACATTCTGTTTTTGGCTTCACCATATAACAGATTGAATAGCATGAGGCAGAGTTTGTCATTTCTTTTCACTGATACAAATTCGTGTTAAGATATTACTGAACAGAGTATTTATAAACTGGCCCTGAGCATGCATAAAGCATCAACATCTGACTCTTTTTTACCTCCTAAAATTTGAAATAAATGTGTATGTATTGTCTTAATAGAGGATTATTGGTATCTTGTCATGATGTTTGAAAATTACTACATAGAATAGTCATAGCAAAGATGGCAGATATGACTGACATGCAGGACTTTCATATATGCCACATTTTGCCTTCACTTTGACTCATAACCTTTTTCGTGGTTCTTGTCTGAAATTTTCATGCTTAATCATTGACATATGTTACTAGGAAAGAGCAGTCTGGTAAATCATTTAAAGTTTGCCGAGGCATTTGTGAGACTTTTTAATAAACCTGATGAGCAAATCTCAAGTATTCAACTTGCATAAGTGTTATCAGAAAGATTTCTATCCTTGAGATCATCAAATTCTCAGTTAATGATTCTTGCTTTTCATCCCTCCAGTACTGGCCATGAGAACCCCTTTTATTCTTTAATTTGATATTCAGTATTTTTTTCTTTATTGACAGTATTCCTCCCCTCACAAAGCTGTTCTTCCTTGTTTCTCTCCATATTTAACTCCTAATTCTTTTTATTTTTAAGTCATAAACCTAGCCAGTCATAAATATGCAAATGTTAACCTTTGTCTCTTGCAGTTTAAGGCAATTGATATCGTAGCCCATCTGATTTTTTCTCCATCTTATTCTCATAATTTTGGAATTTCTTCAGAATGTCATGTATTTTATTGTGCTCTTATATAAGATGAAGAATTATCTAATAAAATTACATTTTTAACATACAAAACTTTTGATGACTGGTAACTAGTATCCCTCCAAATAAATGCCTTGTTTGGTAACAAAGGTTAGTTTAATTCAGAAGAAAATTGTTAATAACCCTAATATTGTAAAATTTAAAACTGACTAACAGCAATTTTCATTTATAACAATTCCTGGACTGTTTAAAGGGCCCAAACTAAGGAAATGGAATCTCACTCTAAAAAAATGAATGAACTGCACAAAACTTCAAGCTATTAAATAAAGATCAACATTATTTACAAAAATAAATAAGTAAATAAAGACAACCCTAAAACAATTGGGAATAGACAAATACAAAACACATCATTCCAAAGCTAAGGAATATAGCTTCCTATCAGCCCATGGAACACTCTACAAAATAGATCATATGCTAGGTTACAAATCAAACCTCAGAAAAATCAAAAGAATTTAAATTATACCATATATCTTCTTAGACCACAAGGCAATAAAGGTGGAACTCAACTCCAACAAAAATTTTCATCCCTGAATAAAGTCACAAAAATTAAACAACCTTATACTGAATGACAATTGGATCAAGGAAGAGATAAAAAGGAAAATCATTAATTTCCTTGAGCATAACAAAAATGAAGACACAAGCTACCCAAACCTGTGGGATATTGCAAAAGTAGTCCTCAGAGGGAAATTTACCATGTAATGCCTACATCTGAATAACAGATGAGAGCACATCAACAACCTAATGAATCACCTTAAGAAAATGGAAGAGGAAGAACAGTCTAATCCCAAGACTAGAAAAAGAAAAAAAAAATAACCAAAATTAAATCAGAAATAAAATTGAAAATAAAAAAGTCATTTATAAAATCAATAAAACAAAAAGTTGGTTCCTCAAAAAATAAATAATATTGATAAAACTTGGCCAAATTAACTAGACAGGAAAAGTAAAATTTCTAATAACCTCAATTAGAAATGAAAAAAGGGAAATAATAACAGATACCACAGATAGATAAGAGATTATCTCTGACTACTACAAGAAATTCTATCCCTAGAAACTTGACAATGTAGAGGAAATGAACCAATACCTGAAATCACATCATCTCCCTAGACTTAAACAGGAAGAAATATATCTCTTGAACAGACTAATATTAAGCACTGAGATAGGAGAAACAATAAAAAGCTTTCAACAGAAATAATCCCTGGATCAGACAGCTTCACACCAAAATTCTATCAAAACTTCAAAGAAGAGCTTTTACCTTATACAGCAGAACATACTCGAAAACACTGAGAAGAAAGAACTTTGCCCAACATCTTCTATGAAGCAAACATAACCCTGATACCAAAACTAGGAAAAGACCCAACTAAAAAAGGAAAACTACAAACCAATATTGTTAATGAATATTGATGCAAAAACACTCAACACAATCTTAGCTAAAAGATTACCCCTAAACATTAAAAAAAGTTATACATCATGATCAAGTAGACTTCATCCCAAGGATGCAAGGCTGATTTAACATATGCAAATTCATAAATGTAATTCACCATATCAACAGAAGCAAAACCAAAGATCATCTGAACCTCTCAATAGATGCAGAAAAATTCAGCAGCCTTTTCTAAAAAGAACACTTAGTATAAGCACAGGTAACACATTCTTAAATTGATTAAAGCAACAACTACAACAACTTGCAAATAATATCATACTGAATTCAGTAAAAATGAAAGCTTTTCCACTTAGAACTAGAACCAGACAAAGATGTCCTCTATTGCCACTACTATTCAAAATAGTGCTGGAAGTTCTAGCCAATGCAATCAGAAAAGAGAAGGAAAAAAAGGTCATCCAAATGAGAGCACAGAAGGTCAAACTCTCCCACTTTTCTGATGATATGATCTTATACTTAGAGGATACCAGAGATTCAACCACAAGACTCCTGGAAGCAAACAAAAAATACAATAACATCTCAGGGTATAAAATGTTCACAAATCAGTATCTTTTCTAGAAACCAACAACAGCTAAGTTGAGAAGCTGATCAAAGACACAATTCCCTTCACAGTAGCTTCAAAGAAAATGAAATACCTAGGAATATACCTAACAAAAGAGATGGAAAAAATGTACAAAGAAGATCATGAAATCCTAAGTAAGGAAACAGCACAAGACATTAACAAATGGAAGAACATACTAGGCTTTTAGCTAGGAAGAATCAACATTGGTAAAATGTTGTAGTTCTCAAAGAAATCTATAGATTCCGTGCACTCCCCATTAAAATACCAACATCATAATTTGAAGAACTGGAAAAAATAGTTCTTCATTTTGTATGAAAGCAGAAAAAACCTACATAGCCAATGTAATTTTTAGGAATAAGAACAAAGCCAGATGCATCACTTTACCAGACTTAAGGCTATATTACAACTCCACAGTGATCAATACAGCATAGTATTGTCATAGAAATAGATATATGGAATTGAACAGAAAACCAAGAGATGAAACCAGTCTCTTATAGCCATCTGATTATTGATAAACCAAGAGAAAGCATGCACTGTGGAAAACAATCCCTATTCAATAAATGGTGCAGGGAGAACTAGATAACTACATGTAAAAGACTGAAACTGGATCCACACCTTTCCCACTCACCAAAATTTACTCAAGATAAATAAAAGACTTAAATCTAAGGTAGGAAATGAATAAAGTCCCAGAAGAAATTGTGGGAAAGGCTCTTCATGATGTCTGCTTGGGGAAAGATTTTATAAAGGCATCTTCAGTGGCAATAGCAACAACAATAAAAATTTAAAAATGAGATTTAATTAATCTGAAAAGCTTCTGCACAGCAATCAAAGCAAATAGACAACCTTCAGAATGGGAAAAAAAAACTGCATGTTACAAATCTGAAAAAGGTTTGATAACTAGGATCTACAGAGAAATCAAATTAATCAAGTAGAAAAAAGCCAACAATCCATCTATCACTGGGTAAGAGACATGAACAGAACCTTTTCTGAGAAAGACAGATAGGTGACTAACAAACATGAAAAAATGCTCATCATCCTTAATAAGCAGAGAAATACAAATCAAAACCACTCTACGATATCACCAAACCTTACCAATAAGATTAGCCCACATCACAAAGTCCCAAAGCTACAGATTCTGGTGTGGACTTTGGAAAGAAGTGTGGAGAATGCCCAAAGAATTCAAATTATACCTCCAGTATAACTTTCAGATTTGACCCTGCAATCCCACTACTAGGCATCTACAAGAAGAAAAAAAAAATCATTTTATCATAAGGACATTTTCACTAGACTGTTTATTGCAGCTTAGTTTA